CACAAATTATTTATTTTGCCATTAATGGCTGTTTGATCTCATTCCAGTTTTGGATTTTTAGAAATTAGGCTGCTATACAAGTGTGTACATGTCACTTGGTGAATACAGTAAATGTCCATAGGGAATTGCTAGGTCATAGGTAGATACTGCCAAACAGTTTTTCAAGGTGGTTGAACTCAGTTACCCTCCCACCAGCAGTATAGTTTGATAGAATTTTATCCTAATGTAATATTTATATACTAAAGGCCCGGTGCACAAAAATTTGTGCACTCAGAAGGGTCCCTCAGCCTGGCCTGTGCCCTCTCACAGTCTGGGACCCCTCGGGGAATGACCACCTGCTGGCTTAGGTCTGCTCCTCGGGGGATTGGGCCTAAGCTGGCAGTCAGACATCCCTCTGGCAGCCCAGGAGCCCTCAGGGGATGTTCACTTGCCAGCGGGGAGCAGGCCTAGCTGCAGTCGGACATCCTTAGCACTGCTGAGGAGGTGGGAGAGGCTCCCACAACCACCGCTATACTGGCAGCCGTCAGCCTGGCTTGTGGCTGAGCAGAGCTCCCCCGTGGGGGCACACTAACCACCATTTAGAACCTCCTGCATTGAGCGTCTGCCCCCTGGTGGTCAGTATGTGTCATAGTGACCAGTGATTCCTAGTCGCTCTGCTGTTAGGGTCAATTTGCATATTACCCTTTTATTATATAGGATTTCTATGCTTGAAAGTCATTTATTGATTTTTTTTTAGTGCTTGCAAACAATTTTTCCCTGGCAAAAAGGTGTGTAAATTGATATTTGATTTAAACAAACTACTGTGATCATAAGGTTATATGAAAATTTCTTTTGCACTGATTTATCATTGGTTATTTATAAGTACTACCCAATTGATAAAAATAACATATTATGACTTTGAGAAAATATTAATGAGCTAAATTTTATTATGACATTACTTTTAGAAATGATTTAGGTTTTTAAAAATCATTTTATATATCTATGGATCAATATTATTTATTGCTCAAATGAGATAATATTCAGCATCACTTTATTATCATTTTTTATTTTTCTTATATGCTAAGAAACTATTCACAATGAGTAGACAGGAATAGGAGTCTATTATTAAAATATCACTCAATCCTTTGAATTCCTTTTGAGTAATGTGCCAAAAATTACATAGCATTTTATGCCCCAAATGATTTTTAAATTGTCTATAGGACCACAGGATTATGTCCTCCAGTTGGAGGCAAAATATTGAAAACCTCTGATTAGCAAAAAGGTTTTTGCTAAGTAACTAGAATCACTCACTTTTTCAACATCTATGCAAACATGTCCTTTTGGCTGCTGCCCTGGATTGGTATTATTATTTTTATCACTAGTGGGGACAGCACACCTCAGCTCACCACGCAGGCTGGATGGAGAAAAGAGAGAAAAGGCAATTGCCCTAAGAAAGGTGTGGGCAAAGAGAACAAGTCATAGCCTTTGCCTCAGGCACTTTCCTAAATCCACCAATTTCAGGAAAGTACACATGATAGTTGAGATTTTGGAAATTAATTCTGGTAAAACCAATTGTCTATGTAGTTCCTGCTGCACACTCCAGTTTGAAGGCTGCTGTGTTAGAGCAGGAATAAAGGGTTGGATTTGGCTATGAGCCATGATCTATAGTTTAGAGCTCCTTTTGAATCTAGTGAAGAGCGACGGAAAGTCTGTGGACTGAAAATAGTGACTCAATCAGTGCTGTACTTTAGGGAATTAACTCGCCCAATCATTCAACAAATGCACCATTCTGTGTAGTGTGGATTCAAAACTGAAGAAAATAAAGCCCCTGCCTTCCTGTAGTTTACATCCTAATGGGAAAGGACAGGAAAATGAATACAAAAGCATAATGTCAGTGAGTGATGGGAACTATAAAAAACAAAAAACAGGGATGATTCTGGACAGTGTGCATACACAGCCCCTGTCCCATGGAGTGTAATTCCTAATGAGGGAGACTGGGAATAATGAAAGCAACAGCATAATTTCAGGTATAAAAAAATTAAAGGAGTATGTGTATTTTTTTTTTAGAAAGGGTAAAGAGTTTTTTCAAAAAGAGCGAATAGGAGATGACATTTTAGGAAATCTGGGCCTGGACTTGAATAAAATGATCAAGTATGCCATGGGAAATCTAAGTAAAGCGTTTCACCGACTAGAACAGGATAGAGGCAGAATATACTTGACATGCTTGAGGAAAACAAGAAAGCTAGCCTGGCTGGAGTGGTTAGAATGTGCAAGAAAAGTAGGGAATGAAGTTGGAAAGGGAGCCAGTGGCAAAGTAATGTAGGATCCTGAGGGCATGGAAAAGACTTTGCTTTCTATGCTTAAGGACAGAGAAAATACTTTGCACTGATTTATATATTAAAAGTATCATTAGCTGCTCTACCAAGAATAGAATGTAAAGAAGCAGGATTAAGAAGTCTTGGATTAGGCTGGTAGAGAAGGGTAAGATTATAAACAAGGGAAGGAAGAAGACAGACTAATAATGATGTCTGATGTCTTTTTAATGAATGGTGGAGTTACAAAGTGAGTACAGGAGGTCATATTCCTAATGCACTGGAGTTGGAGTAACTTCAAAACCAAATACAGGTGGCAGCATGACTGGAGAGAATGGGGAAAATGGAAGGCATCTCTGAGGCTCCGAAAATTGGTAGTTAGGGGGACGGTGGTACCCTTACTAGTAATTACAATAAAGAGATTAAGACCAGTTTGGAAGAGAAAGGGGCTGATGATACATTTTGATTATGGTAAGTATATATCAATGAAGATGTTTAGCTGATATAGATCATACATTTACTGTTGTCTTCAAATAGAGAAAATTTGAGGCACTTTTAAAGGCCCAAGGAAAAAGCAAGAAGCTATTCTTTGGGCAGTAATAATTATTATGGACAAAAATGCTCACTGACGAGTGGGAAATTAAAAGCCTGGGAGATAGAGAAGAGAGATTTACAGTGGAACCTCAGTTCTCGAACTTAATTCATTCTGGAAGGCTGTTCGAGAAGTGATTTGTTTGAAAACCAAGTCATTTTTACCCAGTAGAAATAATATGAATTGAATTAATCTGTTCCAGACGCCCAAAGATGCCATTTTAAAAGTTCTTATATACTAGTACAGCGCATGTCCAATGTACTGTTTAATCTATAAATAAACACTTCTTTCCTTAAATTTATTGAACCACCCCCTACTACTCTTAAACAAGTCTCTTTCAAGCATTCAGTCCAGAATGTCTTTCAGGTCAGCATGCAACATCTTTGCTTATTTATACCAGATATATCACTGCTTCCAAAATGGCTGTCGCTGACTGCTTTTCCTTTATCCAAATCAAGTTTTTCTACCTCTTCAATTGTCTGTGATCATTGTTTCTTTCACGCCCTTAGCAACATTAGCACCATTGATGGCCTCTTTGTTTTAAAATTATGCTACAAAAGCATTCTCTCCTTTGTTGCCTCAGAGATGCTTTTCGTCCCGCTGAGGTATCAGCTTGAAAGGGTTGTCAGTTTGAAAACCAAGTTTGGTTCCACAGCGGAGATATTTTTCTGTGAACAACTTGGTAGAGAATCGAATTGTTTGAGATGGGAGACGTTTGAGAAAGGAAGTTTGACTGTATTTGTAAATTCCTTTTACAAAGGTGGCATAGCACAGTCTGTAAGAATGGCTATGGGGCTAGGCTGCCAACGTTCAAATTCCTACTCTCCTCTTTTCTAGTTATATGACTTTGAGTTACATCTTCTGACCTTGATTTCTTTACCTGAAAATTGCTATAAGACTTATCTGACGGGGTAGTTGTGGAGCAGGAGTTGCTAATCTAGAGTTCATGAAATTTCAGAGCATCTGGGAACCTTGAATTTTTTTAAAAAACTTTTTTTTCTATTTATCTTTCATAAAAATCTTTTCTTCAATCATGAAGTTAGGCAATAAAACATGGTAGTATTAGAAGTGCTCATGGCTTTGTTTCTTGTAGAAAATGACAGATATTTTCATGTTACAGTACAATGGTAGCAGATAATTCAAAATATCATCATCACTCTTTCAAAATTACTGTTTCTATTAAAATTGCTGTTAGGTATGCTGCTAGATTACACATCTTAATCACAATGTGAACTTTGAATGTTTATACATCGGTTCTCACATCTACATTGCTTTCCAGGATTTCCAAAATACAAATGTTGGTTGACTACCAGTTGGAAGAATTGTTTCAATTTTGATAATGGTGTTTAATGATAATTGATTCCTTTGGAATGCTCTGTATTTAATTTATGCATTTAGAAGTACTATTTTAAGACCGGGTCAGTTGGCTTCCTCAGACTATCAAAATGTGTTCATGATCCAAATGAAAACCTCTTGAGACAGACCAGAGGAATACGGGGTACCTAGGAGGCATTGCAACAGTACTTGGCTCACAGCACACATTCATGAACAGTCTGCTGCCGTTGTTCTTGGAGCCTTAGAGAGCAGGAACTGAATTACGTCCTATTCCCTTCCGCATTGCAAGTGTCTAGTACAGGGCCCTGCAGCTTGGTGCTCCACGAGTGCTTAATGAGCGAATTAGAGGAAGGTGTGCAGCTTGGCCCCTCATTTGGAGGTGCAAGGAAGGGCTGTGAAGTTGGGGGCGGCTCCTGGGCCTCCAGGTGCTCCGGCTTAGGGCAGAGGCGGTTCAGAGGCGCCTCGGTGAGCCACAGCTGTGTCCCTACAAAAGGCATCAGGAGCCCAGCTGGCGCCTTTGCCTAGAGTGGCCAGGTCCCGACTAATTATCCTCAAGGCTCTGCCACGCCATCCGATGGGACGGGTCCGTCTGTGGGTCCAGGTAGGCTGGGCGCCCGGGCCCGGTGGACCCCTAGGACTAGCGTGGGACTCGGTGGCAGGACCGCCCCCGGCGCGGGTCCCGGAGCGAGAGACGCACGCCCCTCGCAGCGCGGGTCTCCATGGAAACGGCGGGGCGCGGGACCCGCCCCCTCGCCACGCCCACTTCCTGCCCCATCCCCGGCGCCCGGGCCCCTCTCCCCGTGAACCGGATGCTCTGTCAGTTTCCTCCTCCGCGTCCTCGGCCGCTGCACGGGTCCCCGGCGAAGCCGCAGGCACCCCGGAGGGCACAGGCGGGAGGCCCCCGGCGGCTGGCGGGGCCGCTGTCGGGCGCCGGTCGGAGCTGGGCGCGCACGGTTACCGAGCGTGGAGGAGACCCCCCGCGGCGATGGGTGCCAGGGGCGCTCCTTCACGCCGCAGGCCGGCGGGGCGGCGGCTGTGGCACCTGCCCACCGGGAGCTTCCCCTTCCTCCTCCTCCTGCTGCTCCTGTGCATCCAGCTCGGGGGAGGACAGAAGAAAAAAGAGGTAGATGGGCTCCCGGGGCCTTCCTCCGCCGGCTCGGGCGGGCGCGCGCGCGCGTTGCTAGGCAACCCAGTCGCCAGGCCTGGGTGATGTTGGCCTTGGGGTGGGCCCCGGGGGCGGGGAGCCTGGGGCCCAGGCCTTTGGGTCCCACCGGCTCCGAGGTGGGGTTGGCCCTGCGCTTTCTCAGGAGAGGAAGCCTTCGTGGACGATGCCCCTCGGCATCTCACGCCTCCCAGACCCCGGGCGCCTTTGACCCCAAATTGGAGAAGGACCTTGAGGCCCCGGCGTCACGCACTTTAGTGTTTGGGACGTGAACACACTCTTTGGGATGTATTTGTGCGTATGCTCCTGCCCCCTTCCTTATCCCCTTCAACAGGCCACAGGGCATCATGAGGATGTATGCTCTTCTGTATTCTTCATTACACATTTTTGTAGCTGTATGTTTGTTTATCTTTTTGTATGTTGAACTCACTGTATAATTGTGAGAGTAACCTCACATTAGTTATGCAAATTTCTTTGTAAAGGTCAGATCACCTGATTTCAGGCTTAGGCCTCTTAATAACTTGGATGAGGGCGAGGGTTGAAGTTAACTGATTTTGTTTATGGTGGAGTCATTTGCAAATTTCAGTCATCCTTCTTTACCTGGGATCTCGCAGGATCAGACAAATATTTACTTTGGAAATGTGAGTAAGGTCTCCAATTGTACATCACTGGAGTAAGAGCATTTTCGTTTATATAATTCAAGATGGTTTTTCCTGGTGAAGTTTTACACGTGGCTCAAAATATAATTCGGGTTTAAAATATTACACAACTTCCTTGATAGCTGGGTAGAGAGAGTGAAAAACAAACAAACAAACAAAAACAAAAAAACAGCCACACACAGAAAATACTTCTGATTCTCTTTCGCTTTACCTGAAACAACTCTGAACTCAATCTTAACTTCTTCCCTTTAATTTCTTTAAAAAATATATTTCATTGATTTTTTACAGAGAAGAAGGGAGAGGGATAGAGAGTTAGAAACATGGATGAGAGAGAAACATCGATCAGCTGCCTCCTGCATACCCCCCTGCATACTGGGGATGTGCCCGCAACCAAGGTACATGCCTTTGACCAGAATTGGACCTGGGACCCTTCAGTCCTCAGGCCAACGCTCTGTCCACTGAGACAAACCAGTTAGGGCTCCCTTTAACTTTTTTATTTTAACATGAAAGTGGTCCCTAAAAAATTCTTGGTGGAGTTCTGGTGAGAGGTTTAGAAAAGAACCGTTGTTAAATTAAAACTGTACTTACATATAAATTAAAGATATGTCTCCTAGCATTTGGTATTTATATACCATGGTTCAAGAGTTTTAGATTTCATAGTCTGTCTTAAGAAAGTAGTATTTTGTGTGTGCGTGTGTGTGTGCGTGTGTGTGGATTACCACAGCAGACGACAATTAAACGATGAGGAAATTCTGTTTTATCTCCTGGAAAGAACACTGTGATCACAGTAATTTTCAGTTGAAAGAAAAACTTTAAAAGAGGCCTAAAACATCTCAGCACCTCCAATTATGCATACTTATATGAAAAATGTTGTGAATCTAACATAGTTATACATTACAATAACATCTCAATTAAAAATATTTTTAAATGAAAAATTAGGGAGAAAATTGTTGAGGATTAAAAATAGTTGTCTTCCACAACTGCTTTTATTTCTTTTAGACAGGAGAGTCTAATACAGACATACCTCATTGTATTGCACTTCACAGATGTTGCATTTTTTACAAATTGAGGGCAAGCCCCTCCACCAGCAAAAAGTTTAGAATGTGCTTTGTTGCAGTAGTCTGGAACCAAACCATCAATATCTCTGAGGTATGCCTGCATTATATGATTGCAGAATGCACCTGTTTTATTTAAGGGAAAAGAAGAGCAACATAACAACTTAAATAGTTAACGTTTTAAGACTCATTGAGCACCCGTATCTCTGGAATCAGTTCAGTTCTCTGTCTGGTACTCAGTTAAAAAACTGATCTCTTCCAATAGTGGAAGAAAAACATTTTTTATTGGAAATGTTGGGAAATGGTTGGTTACCAATGTGGTACTTTTTTGACCATATGTCTGTCTTTGCTGAGTTTAGAACCGCATGCCCAGTGTAAGGTTTGACACCACTGAACCAGAAAGTAAGGCAGTTAGAATTTTATTTACTACATTACGTATTACTGACTTATGTGCCAGAGTGGACTTGGCATGAATGATGTATTCCTTTGTTCTGGGGAAGCCAAATTGAAGTCTGAAGTTGAACCTGGAATCAAGAATGGACCTTAGTCACATCTATTTATTTATTTATTTATTTATTTATTTAATATATTTTTATTGATTTCAGAGAGGAAGGGAGAGACAGAGAGAGATAGAAACATCAATAATGAGAGAGAAAATCATCAATTGGCTGCCTTCTGCATGCCCCACAGGGGGAGAGGTGGGGATAGGGAAGGGGGGATAGTAGTGCACGAAGTCTTATATGCAGATATGACTATCTAAAGTGCTTAGTGCAATGTCTAGAACATGATGATTAATAATTGGTAGCTAATATTATATGTTCCACATTTAAATGAAAGCATTATACATGATGAGGTCCTAAAATGTGATAATATTCTTAAAAATTAATTATTTTGCTAAATACACTGACTTTATAATAATTGTAAATTATATAGTTACTGGAATAAATTGTCTATTATCCTATATAATAAAACCCTAATATGCAAATCAACTGAACAGTGGAACGACTGGTCGCTATGACATGCACTGCCCACCAGGGGACAGACGCTCAATGCGGGAGCTGCCCCCTGGTGGTCAGTGCGCTCCCACGGGGGAGCACCGCTCTTCCAGAAGCCAGTCTCATGGCTGGTGAGTGCAGTGGTGGTTGCAGGAGCCTCTCCCGTCTCTACTGTAGGTGGGCCGTAAGAAGTGAGGGGTCCCAGACTGCGAGAGGGCACAGGACAGGCTGAGGGACCACCTTCCAATGCAAGAAATTTGTGCACCAGGCCTCTAGTTTTATTATAAAACAGTGAGAATTCCAAGCTCTTGCATTGTTTGAGAACTTCCCTGTAGGAGACTTTGCATCGTGAAAGAATTGGTGGCATGTATGGGGTGTGTGTGTGTGTGTGTGTGTGTGTGTGTGTGTGTTTCTTGATGGAGATATTTACATTCATTAAAAAATAATTAGTTTTGTTATATTCTCTAAGAATATAGTCAAGAGAAATAGTTAAGTGAACAGGCAAAGATAATTGACTAGAGATTTTTATAGTCACTTTCCTTAATTATGTTGAATACAGTCATTAAAAACTAATTTTTGAGTCCTTACTCATGTTGTCATATGACTGTGGGAGACTAGCCTCTTAGTGGTATGTCATTTGCTCTTCTGGTATGTCATGGAGTTTCTTTATTTTGATGGTGTTTCTATTTCTTATGTCATTAACACTTATCACCTAATCAACTTCATTTAGAATTGTTTTAATCTGTCATGACCACTTCTGATAATATAAAAAGAGCTCAAATCCTGTAATTATTTCCAGTGGACTTACTGACTTTGCCATCATCAAAAACAGCTATTATAATAATTTATCCTTTTTTTCAAGAAAATGATCAGTTACATGAATTAAGAAAGCATTAAAGTAAGTTTCTGTTTCATCTTTACCCCCCTCCCAAGTTGTGCCTCCTACAGTTCCTAACACTAGCTAAAGCATTTGTATGCATCTATTTGCCAAGCCAAAAATGTGGGCACATTTCACTTAGTCTTAAGCCTTTACTCACTTGTGCCTTTCTTTTCACCACCCGTACCCCCACCTCAGCTAAAGATACCCCCTGCGACTTCTCTGACCAGTGCTGTCTTTGAGGAGTACTGTTTAAATATGGTTGAAATGCCTGTAGGGTGCAATCCAAGTTCTTTGCTTGCCTTTTAGTGCTTTTCCTGAGTGCGCCTTTGTGTAGCTCGCCTATTTCAGATCTCACTACTCATACATGCTTCCCTCCAACCTCACCTCAGGCAGGTTACTACCCCTTCCTCCTGTTTCGGATGGGGATTCCTCCTCAGTGCCCACGTGGCGGGATCTCTGTGCTTCTTTAGAGTCTAGACTAGAGCACTGATGTGAATTTGCGTCCATTGTTAGTGCCGGTGAGACCCTGGGAGTGGGTGGCTGAGGTGGTGGGGACGTGCACTGTGGGAACTGATGGGGACATGGAGCTGAAAGGGTGGATGTAAGATGGTTTATGTGGACTTTACTCAACACTCAGAATAGAATAATGGGATGGTGAAGGGTAGTGTCCAAGAGTTCATTAGATGACAGTGTCTGAACAAGGTTAGATAATGGTATGTTTTTCAGGTATGACTCCTAAAGGAGCGGGAGTTTTTATGGGACGATACAGAAGTAAGAGGGTGCTAACTCTACCCTCATCCCCGGCTGAAAGTTGAGAATGGTTTCCATTTTACTAGCTCTGGGGTCTGACGAAGAGATTAAGGGAGTGAACACTCATTACAGACATGTAATACATGAGGAATTAGTTGTGATTTTGAAAATTTTACATAAGTTTTCCCCTTTGATATGATGACAGTATTGCAGTCTTAAAATGAGAAATTGGTAGCAGTTAATGGTAACCTTCATTTTTTTTTTATATCTTGCTTTCAAGGCCTCAAACCAATTTTCTGATGTTACGACATTTTTATGAATCAGATAAACTTTTTGCCTTTGCAATATTTCATAGATGTATGGAATATTGCTTCTGTTTAAATGATCTTGTAGAAATTTCGTAACATGATATTTTACAAATTGCAGCCTTTGTTTAGCAGTATTAACATTAGCTAAATTTCTTACAGACTGTTTCAGCTGTGGATCATTTTATAAGCTATAAGCCGGTATGAATTTAAATAATTCATAGTTCTCTGATTAAAAATGTATTAATACTGTATGATTCCAGCATATAAATGATCAAAACCATTAACAAAGAGAGGTAATAATAAACTTTTCAGTA